CGAAACCACTTGATTCTGTGTTATATCAAAGGAGTCTGGATACAAAATTGCGTTGCTCTAGCTCATATAGTCGCTGAGTACTAGGCGTCATACAAGACGGACGGACGGGTAAACGGATGGACAGACAGAAGGATAGACAGACGTGGCTGTATTGACTCGGATATTGATGCTGATCAAGAATATATATACTTTATCCGACCCCATACAACGCTTCCTTCAGGGCCTTACACACACCCACTTTCCCCACAAATATAATATACCGCTATACTCTTTTTAAGTATCGGGTATTACAATAATAGGATGTTATTCTACTGGTATGCTGACTATGCTGTATGGATTAAGGCTAATAACTTAACAATCTGCTTCTGAGATTTCCTGAAGTGTTCTGTCAACTTTGGCCAACTTCATTTCTCTTCCATCTGTTTTGGTATAGCTTCACCTTTATTAATTCTGCTTTAACCTTTATCTGATCCTTGACTTGGAATTTTAGGTTTCTGGTTGGTTACTTCTGCAGCATTACCTGTTGGAACTGGCCATTGGCCGCCGCCGGCTGGTTCTCCTCCATTGTCAACATGGAGCCTTGCACATCCAAGAACTCGTATTCCTCAACTTTGAAGCCTGGAGAGACTTGCAGCTTTCAACTGTAGCTTTCTTTCAGAGCGCCTTGAAACTTTCCATTCAAATTGATTGCTTCAATAACGTTTCTCATTAGTTTTTTAATGACTAATCGTGTGCCATTACACAGCCGTGGTGGGTTCAAGTTACGAAGCAGAATGATCGGAGGTCCGACCTTTAATTGTAAATGGTGTGGAGGCATGCCTGGCAATTAATTGGATAAATCACAGTTTCGTTGGAGTTGCAGTGACGTTGCAGTTTCGTCACAAACTGCATCAATAGATTTATATGACACCAAGTCCCCAGGCAACAACTTTAAATTTAACCCATAGACGTCCACATTTTTTGCTGCCAAAATGGTTCTTTCTGCCAGCCAATTATGATTTAATATTGAGTGTGTACGTCGGGAAATATGTTATCGGTGACAGAATTTTGCGAGTCGTTGATTGGGAGGAAGTCCGTCTGTAATTTGATGCATCCAATATTTTTATGTAAAGCAACTTTCCCATAGCCAATATCTACTAAAATCGGAATAGTTTTTTAGCAACAAAAACCAAAACCAAAATAAAAGGACATAGGTACCCGAAGAGTGGTCTGATCGGGATAGAAAATAGTGTTGGACGATGTGCACACCTAACCGATAAGCACACAAAATTTCACGAAAAATGGTCAAGCCATTTATGAGGAATTTAGCAAAAAAGCTTTTGACACGAGAATTTTATATATTAGATAATAAAAATATTTCTGAGTGATTTAAGTCAAAATATCCATACCTAATACGAATTACTCGGTCGAATTATCACGTGCATCAACAAGTTTGAGATTTTCTGGAGAATAATTTTTAAAACAAAGAAATGATTTGCCATCATTAAAATTTGTTTTTCAAACAATTTTAATAACGGCCTACGTAATCTATTCATCATAACTTTATGCAAAGTTGGGAACCACTGCATTCATCACTATATATAGGATATATAGTTCACGTTAATCATCTGCATCAAGCTGCAAGTCAAGATATGTGTGAGGCCTTAATCGATTGACAGCAATTAAAATGAAATTCTCTTTGACTTGTGAAAGGATTGATTAGATAGATTGTGTCCGTTAAATTGCAATAATTTAATTAATGTAAATTAATTTCTGTCGGTCAAGCAGTACCAGGGCGTAGTCGCCAAAAAAAATTTTGAATCAATCCCGAGCTTAGCATTCTTTCGATTGACACGTTATAAAGAACATTATCAGTACAGAACAGTATTATCATCGCATTTTACATCTTCGTCATCCTTAATAATAATTACAAAGTGTCAACCGATGCGAGATCGCTAGGCAAGTTTTATTATCATATTATTGTACAAAAGGACTTTGTATATGTGTATGCCGCACTACTAAAAATGAGGTACCACGCTGAAGGAATATTTTATGTCCGGTACTTAAGTTGCTTTATGTAAGTTTTGTTTGCGCTCGTATTTCCGATAAATTTTAGGAAAAATGTGCCTTAAATAAATCAAGTTGCTTTTATATTATTTTAAATCCAGTTATCTGCGATCAATTTCAGCAGAAATTAGCTTAAAAGCTATGCCAATTAAGAGTTTGCTTCTTTCAAAAAGTTTTTTTAGTTTCTATTTTCATTACCTGCATATATAATTTAAATATTGTTGCTTGCTTAGTCAGCCATCGAATGATAATTATTTAAGTTCAAGGTTGGTAATGGTGCTAGATGTATATGTAAATATCGCTGTAATCTTCGATTCCTATGGTTTCATTTCATAGCAGCCGGTATCTATTTTAGATCCATTTCATTATTACACTTTGTATACGCTGAATAATAACAAAAAACTAGAAAAGCTTTATTTCGTCCACCAATTTGGGTTATGTTATAGAATATATAAAAGCATTTCGTACCGGATTTTTAGACTTGTTTTTTACACAATGAACAATTATTTGTATAAGGGATTTAAGATATAAATGATTTGAGTTGATTTAATACTTGCGGTAATTATATGCTTTTATCTATTTAGTATAAAATAGAGCCCTGCATTTTTAAAAGCTTTTATTGTTCAAGAACATCCGATATATATTTTAAGAAAGTACCTTTTTTATATCGGGTACTCGATGTGGATAGATATTAGATTTGTGATGGAAGGAGATATGTGTGTAACACTCAGAAGGAAGTGTTTCCGACCTCATAAAGTATATATATTCTTGATCAGTATCAAAAGCCGAGTCGATATAGCCATATCTATCGGTCCGTCTGTCCGTCCCGACGAGCGCCTAGGTCTCAGAGACTATAAGAACTAGAGAAAGCAAATATTGTATCCAGACTCCTGTGATATCCCACTGTTAGTGTTTCGAAATTTCGCGCCACCCCCTGCCCCCACGAAGTACGAAAATCTGTCGCATAAACAATTTTGAAGATACGAAAATTCTCTCATTCTGTTTCGCACACTCTGCATCGGGAAATGTGCGCTGCAGCAGGTGTAGTTAAGCAGATGTAGCTTAAAAAAAACGCAAAAAAAGAAAACACCTTTTTACACTCCCCGACACTTGAATACGACATACTAAATTGTACACTTTAGGCACCAATATTTTCGGGCACAAGCCAAAGAAAACGGTGAATTTGAATTTTCCTCAAATCTCTATTCAATTTAGCAAAAATTAAAAAAAAAATAATAGCAATATTCATCAAAGTAGATTGAGGAAAAAAATTTAATTGACATAACTCAAATTTCCGCTCCCAAAAAATGCGACACTTGAATACGACATTCACATTGAAAAATTTTTGTGGTCGCGACCGGACATTGAATAAATTCTCAAAAATCAATTAGGGTGTCCTTATTACGAGAAAAAAAATTTGGGTTATGGCAAGTCTTTTTCAAAGGACGAAAACTCCACAATAAAAGCCTCGAAGGAAGTAGGTCCATCAATAATGAAAATAAGTGATGAAATTGGTAAAACTAGGTGTGTTCTGAGTGATTTCATAAAGAACGGGTCAAATTATGGCAAAAACATAAAAACCCGAACCAAAATTGCTACTTCCGAGACCTCTATGAGATCTCATCTGCGAGCCGCATCTAAAAAACACGACTAAAACTCGATTTAAAAATCTAAAACTGTACTTTAAGCTAGTGCTAAAATAATAAAACATGTTTTTTTCGAAGACTCCACACCATAAGGGACTGTAATTAATGAAAAACCCCTCAACTTTGTTGCATATTTGACAAACTCGACTTAATGAAAAATCAACTGGTCCACGCCGTTTTAGGATCTTGCTCACCACAGAATAATAGCGCTCACACTGCTATGAAAACGATCCAATTATAATTCTTCTTTACTACTCACTTCCTTTACTTCCTTGAGTCCTTATAAATATAAAAAAAAACCCTTATGACCCTTAAAATTTAAATTTTTGTTCCTTTGAAAATGCTATGTAGCGACAGTCTCTACTCCACGCCATATGAATATGCAAAAGTACGGGAGTAAGTAAGTAAGTTTTCGTCCGTTGGCTGAGGTTTTTTATTAATTACAGTCCCTTATGGTGTGGAGTCTTCGAAAAAACATGTTTTATTATTTTAGCACTAGCTTAAAGTACAGTTTTAGATTTTTAAATCGAGTTTTAGTCGTGTTTTTTAGATGCGGCTCGCAGATGAGATCTCATAGAGGTCTCGAAAGTAGCAATTTTGGTTCGGGTTTTTATGTTTTTGCCATAATTTGACCCGTTCTTTATGAAATCACTCAGAACACACCTAGTTTTACCAATTTCATCACTGATTTTCATTATTGATGGACCTACTTCCTTCGAGGCTTTTATTGTGGAGTTTTCGTCCTTTGAAAAAGACTTACCATAACCCAAATTTTTTTCTCGTAATAAGGACACCCTAATTGATTTTTGAGAATTTATTCAATGTCCGGTCGCGACCACAAAAATTTTTCAATGTGAATGTCGTATTCAAGTGTCGCATTTTTTGGGAGCGGAAATTTGAGTTATGTCAATTAAATTTTTTTCCTCAATCTACTTTGATGAATATTGCTATTATTTTTTTTTTAATTTATGCTAAATTGAATAGAGATTTGAGGAAAATTCAAATTCACCGTTTTCTTTGGCTTGTGCCCGAAAATATTGGTGCCTAAAGTGTACAATTTAGTATGTCGTATTCAAGTGTCGGGGAGTGTATGTCCATTAATGCAGGGCTCTAGTATAAAACTTGCATAATCGATAATAAAAAAATACCCTACAGTGTGAAAACAGTATCTAAAATAATTATAACACAGAAGTTTTCACTAGAGGTTTAAACTAATATAACGATTTTTTACACATTAGTATATGTGTAGACAACAACACTGTTTATCATAGTGAGATTTATTTTTAACTTGGGATTTTATTTGCTTAGAAATGGGTGTGCTACTTCCGAGGATCTCTTTTGGAAGCTAGACGCACTACAGTCCTTCATAAGGGATCTGCACTGGCCAGATGCTGAGTTTCGACAACATTTAGAACAGCGGTTAAAAATGATGGCAGTTGATATGATTGAGCAGTGCATACAACGAACTGATTCGTCTTTTCAGTCATGGCTGAAAAAAAATGTTGCTTTCATATCAACGGACTATATTATACCATCCGAGATGTGCGCTATGGTTAATGTGATATTAGATGCTAAAAATCAAAGCTTTAAACTGACGACTATTGATGGCATTGACTTGGTAAGTTGATTGGTGACAAATCGCATATACATCAACAAGCTTAAATTTAAAATAAACTCTTTCCTAGTATAAATTCCATGCAAAAATCGACGACCAAATCGACAAAGCGAATGTAGCGATGACACAAGGGCTAAGTGGTAAACTTATGTCAGTGCTAGAGTCGACTTTGTCAAAATTAGCTCGATACGACGAAGGAAGCTTGATTGGTTCAATTCTCAGTTTCACAAATGTTTCGAGCTCTGGAAAGGACCTGGGACAGGGCTATGTGAATTTCTTACGGAATAACATGGACCAGATACGTGGGAAAATTGGTGACGATTTATGGACACTAAATTTTTTCGAGCAATGGTATACACAGCAAGTTATTATGCTCAATAATTGGCTGTCGGAACGTTCGGATAATGCCCTGCATTATGCACAAGTCTCATCTATATCTCATATTATCAAGGTAATGTATTCGTTGTGTTCGACAATGGTTTTTTATTTTCCTAATATCACGAAGGTTAAAGAAGTATATTCATCAAAGTATATATATGTATTCTTGTTCAGAAAAGTTTATAGCTCTGTCAAAACAAAAACGTGATTTCATTCAATAGTTCAGCAGGAAGTGTGAAGCGTAGCAAAACCTATTTTATAAATGTGTATTGCATTCAATCGTTTTCAAACTCACAAAGGTATTAATCTCATATTTTTTTCACGGGATTAAAATATGACATTTAAATTATAATCTTGAAACAAAAACAGTTTTCGAGGAATAAAAGAACTAGATTGGCTTAAATAATTGCACTAGGTTGATATTTGTAACCGGTACCCAGTAGATTTGCAATAATACAATTATTTAATAGGCACATCTGAGCAGTTGGACCTGCAAAGATTCAAAACGAACTACAGTTGAACTTTTCTATTACGATCTTCCATAAACATCGTGGATCTATCCAACGAATTTATTTCCACAACACTGCAATTCTATATTCTCTTGAGATTCGCCATATGGAAGTTCCACTGTAAATGTAAAACGAAACGAGGAGGGCAGACGCCGTTAATATTGAACGACACGACAAAGAGTGCGTGCGAGAGAGACAGAAAATCAGTCTGAGCGTGTCGTCGGGCGCTGCGTAGCCACTGCAAAATGATTTGTTCCTTTTGGCTATAAAAATGATCCGATCTGATCCAGATTCAGAAATCTGATAGATATGGTCATGATCTATGATTCTGCGTTTTTAGTTTTCTTGTATCCTCAATATTGTGGATGCAACAGATTTTCGTCTTTTGTGGGGGCGGAAGGGGGTGGGGCGAAATTTTTGAAATATACGTTTTGTAGTGAGATTTAACAGGAGTGTGGATACCAAATTTGGTTACTCTAGCCTTAATAGTCTCTGAGATTTGTGGATGGCCCAGATTTTCGTCCTTTGCAGGGGCGGAAGGGGGTGTGGCGAAATTTTGACTAACTCAACTAACTGAAGATGACGTTGTTCTCTACGATACTAAATCCAGTTAAAAATATATAGATCACACTATGTAAGCCTTCCTTGATGGGCTTGAGTACAGGAACCAATATAATACAAAGAGAATAATTCCTGTAGAATTAATATAATATCCGACCGGTTCTCAACTTCTATACTGCGTGCACATGCTAAGTTTGAGGGGCGTGGACAGATATCTGAGAGACTAGCTTTGTACCTATACTACATATCAACTTCAAGACATTTTGTGCTTCCCTTCCTGTCACGTTATTTATCGGTATTCTTATTATATTAAAAATCCGTCTGCAAGAAAATCTATCTTTCTATATCTAGCTATATATTTAATATTCTAGAAAAGTTATTGAAATCACCATCTCGGAAAATAGTTGTATTGACCCATTTTATATTTAGAAAATATATTCCGACTTTGAACTGCAAGGTGTTTTGGAAGACAAGCTAAATTCGAAAGCTTATCAGACGGTGTCTGTTCGTATGGCTACTGAAGAAGCAACTTGCTCTCTAACAATGCCCGAAGTCGCCGAAGGAGATGAGTAAGTAGTGGCTTTACTTTAAAGAGTTCGAGTTTAGATTTTCAAAGTTATTCCCGCATGCATAGGGCCTGTGATGATATTCGAGAAGCGGATGAGGAAGACACTGGCGAAGAATCCAATATGCCTAGGGGCTTACCCAAATCAAAAGTAGCTGCCGCTCAAGCTGCTGCTGTCACCAATGTTGTTGCTGGACGCGTTGGAAATTTGTTGGGAAAAGGTATCGGCGGACTAAGCTCGAAGTTGGGAAGCGGAAGCTGGTTTTAAAAAATGTTAGGGCATTTTTTTGATTTATTTTAATTAAAATATTTCTTTTACTTTTATTACCAAATTTTTTTAAACTACTCATTTAAAATTGGATTTTTTATTCTCGTTATATTATTATTTTAACCAGAAGTTAGAAAAGGAGAAATTAATTTTGAACGAAACGTTTAATAGTGCTTAATATAATGAAGGAAAAAGAGGGTGAGGTCGGTGGGGAATATATGAGAATTCCCATTTCTCGAACTTGTTGGAAGAGTTTTAATTTTTCGTTTCTATAAAGCGAATTTATACGTTAAGTTATATTTATTTAAATTAAGGCTCCTTTTACGCTTATACAAACACAATCCTTGTTGATCAAACTGTGAGTAAGTAAGTATTTGTGGTAGAGGCGGGAAGAGTCCTTGCTGTAGGTTAACTATAATTGTTTGTGGCGAAATCCACTAATGAATAATATTGCTATTTTTATTTATATATTTCATTATGGAGAAGCAGCTTAAAACACAGAATTTTGATCTATATAAGTATGGAAAATAAACAGTTACTGTTCGTCAAACTGTCAGATTATATATACTTTCAGCTACAGATTATGTACATTAGCTTGTCGTTACCCATCATTGGCTTAACGAATTAAGTATGTCCGTCTGTCCGTCCGCCCATCTTTTTATTTGTAGGCAAACAGTTTTGACTATAACATGAAAATTACTTACTTTTCCATGATAATTTAAAAAATTCAGAGCATTCAAAATCGGATACCTGTGTCATACATATAACTGCCATAGAAACGAAAGCGATCGTTAGAAGTGCTCTGTGACGGATTCATATTATAGTATCGAGGATTAGTGATTTTCATTACTGTTTCTGAACATATGCCAAGAAGATATAGGCAATAGCTTTTTCATGGCAGATTCTCGGCCCTTAAAGCCTCTTATATTGTTTATTATTGATCTTATTTATAATTTCTTAATCATATTTATCCTTTTTTTAACTGGGTTTTATTGGTAAAACTTTTTGATTTTAAATTATGTGCAATTGGCATTTAATTTAACACACGGCTCTAGACTGCAAAGTCAAATTGGCATGACGCGAAATATTAAAATAACGGTAAAATATTTAACTACACCGTATTGTATCATGCTTATACTTAGATGGACATTATACCAAAGACAATATAAATAGTAAGAGTAAAACAATTTTCTGTACTCGATTTTTTGCCACCTGACTCAAGAGCTGACTCTCTTGAAATTTTAATTTTAAACGCCAAAGAGAGAGAGAGAGAGAAAGCGCTTAAGAGCCAGCTGCACTCTCGTTATATACATGGACTGAGATACAACTGTATGTGTGCATATGATTCTCATACATTTTAGCTGGGACCGCAAATAATAGTTGAGTTACAAAAAATTGAGGCACCAAATAACCACCAAGAAAGATGGGGGAAGTAGACATATGTATGTTATTTTTTACGGCAAATTTCAAAATTTAATATACTTTTATTTGTAATTTTTTATTTTAAATTTTGATTAAATTATTAAAATTAATTTAAATTATAAAATTAAAAAATAATTATTATATAAAAATGAAGTCATAAAATTTATTTCAATTTTGATTATACAAGTTAAAAATAAAATAAAAATTCAAATATCATATCAAATTTTTATTTTAAAAGTTAATTAATCTATTAAAATTAATTTAAATGATAAAATTAAAAATTAATTATTAAATATAAATTTGTATATAAAAATGTAGTAATAAAATTTATTTTTAATTTTGATTATAAAAGTTATATATACATATATATATATAGTAATTATTCTTTAGTTCTCTTTTACTCTTTTACATTTATCTCTTTACATTATCCGCTTATTAGGCGGTCTGGGCAAGTGTCTAAGCAGATAATTAAAAAAATGTTGTTTAATACATAATAAACAAATATAATGTATGAATGTACATATGTAATACATAATCAGGAAGACACCGGTTTTTACTTTCACCAAAAATTTTCCCATTTAGGATTTCAAGATTTTTCTGTTTTGAAAACCGAAAAATTTTCCTCGCCGAAATAAAACATAAACGCATTTTTATACGAAAAAATCTTAATCGCATAAAAAAGGATGACTTATTAATGCATTAACATAAATTTTGACACTATTACCTGGGCATTTAGCGTATGCCTACTTTACAAATTTGTTTTTTCAACCCAATGTCATATTTGTCTCTGAAATAATTATCAGTGTAACAAATCTTCGATTTATCATGCTAATAGCGGACGATAAATCGATTTTGGCGATTTGGGTAACAGAACGGCAAGAAGTACGTTTTCGCGCATAACAGAAAATTTTGGTGCACTGTTTCCCGCCTCATTTAATTCAAAGTGGAAGTGCAACAAATTGATTTTTTGACCTTTAGCAATTTAATTTTCCATATGCACGCTGTTATATATATCATGTTATATACACAGGTGTTGCATCTAAGATGTCTTGATCTTCTTAAATCGCGCACTTTCTGCCATTGTTTCGCTTCAAAATAAGCATTGAAATCGGTCTCATTTTTGACATCTGTATTTTTACGAAACAAGCAGATCAGCTGACATAAAAACGAAACGTTATGGCTGAGAGCGAAAAACGGAAAATTAAGTGAAAATCGGAACCGGCTTGAATATATTTTATACATGACTTCGCATTGGAATAATTTTCTGTGGGGTATTTAGCGTGCGCTGCCGCACAGTGGGAAATTCGGCTATTTAAGCTTGCTAAATTAATTAATTTTCATGAAAAAGACGGAATTTAAAAGATAAATCATTCGGAATGTAGTCTGCACAAGAACATCATTCTACGATGTCTTAAAGTTTAATAATAAAGTGTTAAAGTTGAACTTTGTTACCGGTGAATACTTCCTATAGTATATTATTAAGCCAAACGACTCAAAAGTTCAGAAAGCTCTTTTAAAATAAAAAATATCATGAAAAATCCAGATATAGGCCAAACAGAATAATACGCCTCATAGTTTAATTTTTTTCCACATGCATTATGGGAATAAAAGTTTCCGAATACATTTTGGCACACTAAAAAAATGTTTACTTATTTTCGGCCTCAAATTTGCCTTGTAAATCCTTTTGCGAATTTAAACAGTTATTTTATATTTAAATTAGTAAATATTACTAACAAATTAAGTATAAATATAAAGAATATAATTATTTGGTTATCCAATCAGTCGATCGCAAAAGGATTTTCGATGAAGAAGAATTTTGATTCATGTTTTCGGTTCGGAAATCTTTTCTCTTTGTTGCTCTATATTCTATCTATCTATCCATTCTATATATTCGCTCGTGCGAGCGATAGTGCAGATTTCGTCTGTTCCCAAAAACGTCGCTGCATATGACCATTGAAATGTAAAGGCATTACTCATCTTACTATTAATATTGTCTTTGATTATACCTTGTATCAACGAATTGGTAATTTGTCCAAGATTTATTTCGTACTTAATTGTAGTGTAATAAAAAAACAATGTTCACATCTATATGTGAAACTTAACACAAAATCGTATATACCTGATATCGACGATTATATATGCAAGTAGGTCGAACGTGAAATATTTACGAAAGAAGAAAATATGCTGTGGATTTTAACTTATTTCTTTCAAAGCTAAAAAAGGGTGTTAAATAAGCTGTGGCTATCAACATTTTATCTTATGTCAATCTAAGTTAAAAAAGGCTTACTTTTGTTAAAAAAAATTGGATTAGTTTTAATTTTCTCTTTTCCGTTTAAAATGTTGCCATCAATTAGTATGAGCTCCCTATCACACAAAAAGATGCTATTAACTTATGTACCATATATAACCGTCTTCAATTACATTTATAAATATTAATATTAAAAAATGTTTACGATTATAATACAAAATAATTGATTCAGAAAAAACCATAAAAACATAAAATTTATTCATGACATTATTATATATATTTATATTCACTTATAGTTCACGCTGTATCGAATAACTATACAAATGTGTTATATTCCATTTTGGTTCGCACTATATTTAACACAAATAAATTTACCTTATTAATAACGATTTACAAAAATACATTTTAGTTTTGTAAAAACAAATTACCTTATACATATATAATAATTAGATGGCTTACTTCGATGGGCGATAATAGATACTTTCTTCAATTTGTAATTCCTAACAAAGTATTAATTTAACTTTTAAAAGTCTACAGAGTTAAAATAAAAAAACTGTCATTACGAGACACTTATTTACCGCTGAAAATTTCCATAAATGTCGTATTATTCAACTTAATAGAGTTTTCGAAAATGTTACTGAATTAATTAGAATATAGATTAAATAGTAATTACAAAATTTAAACAATTTGGAGGCTTACTTGTATCTAATTAATATGGAAGTTTATATACGTATATTTGTTGTCTCTCGGTCACCATAGGCTAATAAAAAAGAAGATAAGCTAATTAAAAAAAAGAACATTCGCATTGCTTGTCGTGATTACGGCTCAATGATTTTTTATTGAAAATACCTAAAATAAAAACTCTTTAATATCAGAAAATCGGAAAATTATAGCTAGAAAAATATATACATACTTATGTACTCTTAATTTAACATGTTTTTCATTATTTAAATCACTTAAGAATAACGTTGAAAATATGGAGCCATTTGTTATGCGACAAACATAACAACTATTTTACTTCCGTTTCAAGCGAAAGAAAAGCAAATAAATGCATAATAATCCTAGTAAGTATGATTTAAGTAAAAGGAGTTGGTGAGCATCTGGGTGAGTCTTTATTCTTTTAATAACTGCCTATCAACACCAAGTCACAGTATCCCATTTAACAAGAAAAAAATAAACAAGTATTCAAAAAACTTTTTAGTGTTTCTTCTTTTGTGCCGTTTAAAACAAATGTATTTTTATTGTGTGCGGTCATGGTTAGGATAGGTTAGGTTTGTAATGTGTCCCGGTCTTCTGGTGTGGTGGTGGCTGTTACGCGCTCTGCAAACTA